AAAAAAAAAAAAAAAAATTAGCTGGGCATGGTGGCACGTGCCTGTAATCCCAGCTACTCAGGAGGCTGAGGCAGGAGAATTGCCTGAACCCAGGAGGCGGAGGTTGCGGTGAGCCGAGATCGCGCCATTGCACTCCAGCCTGGGTAACAAGAGCGAAACTCCGTCTAAAAAAAATAAAAAATAAAATAAAATAAAAAAATAAAAAAAAATAAGTGATGATTCTGCCTCAGCCTCCTGAGTAGCTGGGATGACAGGCACCGGCCACTAGCTAATTTGTTGTATTTTTAGTAGAGATGGGGTTTCACCACAGGGGCCAGGCTGGTCTCACACTCCTGACCTCAGGAGATCCGCCCACCTCAGCCTCCCAAACTGTTGAGATTACAAGTGTGAGCCACTGCGCCTGGCCCCAGAAGTAGTAGCTTTGATAGAAGAGTGGTTAGAAATTCCTTCTCTCAGCCGGGCGTGGTGACTCACGCCTGTAATCCAAGCACTTTGGAGGTCAAGGTGGGCGGATCACCTGAGGTCGGGAGTTCAAGACCAGCCTGACCAACATGGTGAAACCCCGTCTTTAAAAAAAAAAAAAAAAAGAAAGAAAGACATTCCTTCTCTCTTTCTCTCTTTTTCTTTTTCTTTCTTTTCCTTCCTTTTTTCTTTCCTTTCTTTCTCTGTCCTTCCTTCCTTCCTTCCCTTCCCTCCCTCCCTCTCTCTCTTCCTCCTCTTTCTCTCTCTCTCTCTCTTTCTCTTTCTTTTCCTTGTCAGTCCGTGGCCCAGGTTGGAGTGTAGTCACTCAGTCATAGCTCACGGTGGCCTCACTCCCCTGCCTCGGCCTCCTGAGTAGCAGGGAGAGCTGGGACTGCAGGTGGGCCGCACCATGCCCAGCTGTCTTTTGAAATGTGCTGTAGAGATGCAGTCTTGCTTTACGCCCCAGGCTGGTCTGGAACTCCGGGTCTCCGTGATCCTCCTACCTCAGCCTCCCAAAGCGTTAGGATTATCAGCCTGAGCCGCCAGTCTACAAGGCTGTGCCTTTTAGAGGCTGGATGCTGGTGAACAGGCGTGCCACCACCTGTGTGGAGCCTCCCCAGGGACCCCTCCCGCCCGGGCCCCACCTTCTCGAAGTACCACTCGTTCATAGGGCGGGTAGTGGCCCTGTCGGGTCAGGGCTGAGAGGTCCTCGCGGCTCCGCTGAGTGGTCTTCTTGGCCCCTCGACGGAGACCCCGCAGCCGCCAGAACTCGGCCCGAGCATTGGAGCCCGCGGAGGAACCGGGCCCGGCTCCCACGGCCCTCTGGGCAGCTTCCAGGCTGGCCAGCTGCTCCGCCCTGCGGAGAAGAGGGGACAGTACTGGGCACTGGGGTCAGCACCACGACGGCCCCAAAGACATCCTCATCCTTCCCCTGGGAACCTGTGGACTGGCTACTTCATAGGCAAAAGGGACTTTGCAGATGGGATTATTATTTTATTGTTATTTATTTTGTTTTTTTTGAGACAAGGTCTTGCTCTGTCGCCCAGGCTGGAGTGCGGTGGCACAATCTCGGCTCACTGCAACCTCCACTTCCCGGGTTCAAGCAGTTCTCCTGCCTCAGCCTCCCGAGTAGCTGGGGTTACAGGCACCCGCTACCACACCCGGATAATTTTCGTGTATTTTTAGTAGAGACGGGGTTTCACTGTGTTGGCCGGCATGGTCTCCATCTCCTGACCTCGTGCTCCGCCCGCCTCAGCCTCCCAAAGTGCTGGGATGACAGGCGTGAGCCGCCGCGCCCGGCCCTTGTTTCTGGGCGTCTGTTACAGGCAACAGGAAGCTCATGCCAGCATCAGCTGGGTCCCGCCCTGCGCCTGTCGTCCTCGGGGTGAGCCGGCAACGCTGCTCAGCAGGGCCAGCGTGCCCACGTCTAACGGGAAGGCCGCGCCGCAGGAGCGCACGGTCCCCACCTGCTCTGGTTGGGAATGATGCCCCGCTCTTGCTCCCGCAGGTCACGACCCATGCGCACCGCCAGCCAGTGGCCTCCTCGCGTGTGGCTCTGCCCGGGGCCCGGGTACAGCGTGTCCAGCACGTGGAAGACGTCGCCACGGGTGAAGCCCAGGCCGGACGGTGGGCTGGGCTCCAGCTCAAAGTGCGTGCGGATGTAGAAGGAGTCGCCCACGCGGGACTGCACCATTTTCCAGAAGACTGGGGAGAGGAGGAGGCCTCGTGAGCTGCCTGGCTGCTGCCTGCTCTAGCCCTTCCCCCAGGGTGGGCCTGGAGGGAGGGACCCCGCCCCGGGGAGACTTGGGGCACTCTCCCTGCAGGGGCCAGGAGAGAATTAGAGGGTGCAGAGATGCAGCTTTGACCACACCCCTGCGCTCACCATCAGGCCACACAGCCAGGGCCTCCCCCGACACAGGCGCACACGCATCCCAGGGCACTCACTGTCCTGCTTCCGCTGCGTCAGCAGCTCCATCTCCTCGCCTGGTGGCAGTGCCAGCAGGAACTGCACCGCCTCCTCCCGAGTCAGGTTCTGGAATGGCACGTCATTTACCTGCCAGGAAGCAGGGACAGCTGTAAGCTGAGGCTCCGGTACCTCCTGGCTGTGTATGAGAGCCTAGACCTTCCTCTGGGCAAAAGTCAGCCCCCGCTGCTTCCAGAGCTGCCACGGGCCCCGGCAGTTCCAGGAGGGCTTTCTGATGGGGCATCACCCTGTGGCTGTGTGACGTGACACCTCTGGTGACATTATAAAGATATAGGGGTTTTGGCCGGGCACGGTGACTCACGCCTGTAATCCAAGCACTTTGGAAGCCAAGGCGGGCGGATCACCTGAGGTCAGGAGTTCAAGACCAGCCTGACCAATGTGGTGAAACCCTGTCTTAAA